TAGACGACAATGGGCTACTCTTCTTTTGCCCTAAGACGCTGCAACGAGGCGAGGATCGCGATAGTGTCGTCAGGATGGTGATACCCGATGGCTTGCAGCGAGACTTCCTTCATCATTATCATGCCATTCTAGAAGGAGGCCATCAAGGCGTCGGAAGGACGTACCGGAGGATCCAAGCGGACTTTCACTGGCGTGGGCTGTATCGAAGTGTACAACGTTACGTGGGGGAATGCACCGATTGCGAAACCGGGAAGGGAAAGCCAACGGGCCAGGGAGAATCGCCAGGAAATATCCAGGGTACATATCCTTTTCAGGTAATCTCCATGGACCACATTCCGTCGTTGCCGAAGTCATTCAAGGGGAACACCGAACTTCTGATTTGGGCCGACTTGTTCACCGGTTATGTAATAGCCAAGGCTGATCCGTCGAGAGAGGCGCAGGAAGTGGCAAAAAACTACGAGGAATGCGTCTTCCGTCGTTTCGGCGCAAGCGAAGTCATCAGACGTGACCTAGAACCGGGTTTTATGTCAGACTTCTTCCGTGCCTTCACCTGGATCGTGAAAATGAGACAGAGCGCAACGATGGCTTATCGTCCACAAGGAAACGGCAAGGCCAAACGAACGGTACAAACCCTGACATGAGCCCTGAAGGTGTACGTCGTAGACGTCAACCAGCACGACTGGGACGACTATGCGAAGCGGCTGACGTTAGCGCTGAATACGGTGCATGATCGAGTGTGGGGAGAAACGTCGTTTTTTCTTGTCCATGGATGGGACCCACGATCGTCACTTGAAGCAGTTGTGTGCGATGCACGGAGATGGAGGTACCACATACAGGGAGAGTACCGCAGAGCCAGGGAAGCCGTCAACGAGAATCCACGCGAGGCGATCAAGTCTGGGGTTGACCAACACAACGAAAACGTCAGACCACACCGGATCGAGGAAGGCACACAAGTGTGGCTTTACCTGGACCGCGTAACGGAAGGTTACGCCCGCAAGCTTGCACACATGTGGCATGGGCCGAATCGCGTAACCGAGCCGATCGGCAATCACGCAGCTCGGCTCGAGACCGCTGGCCCAGGGTATCGAATCTTCCCGATAGTACACCTGTCGAAGTTGAAGCCAGTGCGAACATTCCCGGATCGACCAAAGCTTGTTTTGAACACCGAAGACGATGTCCGGGTAGATTTTGATGAAGAAATTGTTGTCTGACAATAGCTGGGACACTCCACTGGACGAAGGCGAATTCGAGGTAGAACGGATCCTGGACGTACGGTCAGGGAGACGCACCCGCTGTGGGTGGGTGCACCGAGAGTTCCAGGTTTATTGGAAAGGCTATGACCAGCCGACATAGGTAGACGAAGCCAACCTCAATTGCGCCGCCTTGTTGTACGAATATGAGCGCGGACGTACCAGCCGTAACCGCTTCAATGTGATGCAGTCACACGAAGAGGGGACCAACGCTGAATAAGCCATCGACGGGTGGAGATAGTGTGATGGGTGGCCACACACTGGGAGGATATGTATTTGTACAATGCGTGACGACACCTGGCAACAACCGGGAAAAGAAAAGGGGGACATTGGAAGTTAGAGGAGGAGTCCAAATGATGGATAGCATTACGTACGTCCGATAGATCGATGATCGAGATGATTGATCGTAATCGACGAGCGTAATCGATGATCGGGATGGTTGATCGTAATCGGCGATCAAAATCGATGATCGAGCCGACGGTCGAGGAACAAGGGGATGGTGAACCAAGCCATGGAGGAGAGGAGCAGAAGCAGAGAGCTGACAACCGAGCGAAGAGTGTAGCTGCTGCCGTGTAAGACGATGTGCAAAAGAGGTGTCGAGGGTGAGAAGCCACGAAGGTAAGTCTCCATTGACGCGGTCAACCGGTCACCGACACGAGAGCGTGCGCAACTACAAAGCAAGAGAGGTCAGCCTCGAAACAACGAAGGAACTAGCACAACGCAGCATGATACGAACAAGGTGAAGACGGACGTGGTTGAGAGACGCAGAGCGCCAACAATATTGATAAGCTTAACAGATACTGAAGCTACTCCAGAGGGACGAACTTGCCCTCAAGACGGGGAAGCTGGGAACCGGGATGGGCTTCAATAGCGTGGTAATACTGGTTGCGCCAGGGACCTTGGCGGTCAGCGTCACGAAGAGCTCGAAACAGGTTAGCTGGTCGTGGTGTGCGGTATAGACCAGGGTACCATTTCGACCGCTCTCCCGGGCGCGGGAAATGGAGGAAGGCAGGATCCAGAAAAATGTCGAGGTCGCAGTGTCCGGCCACGATACCCAACAACACGATCTTGAGAAAGGTTTTCCAGGCAGCACCAAAACGTGACCGGCGCTGCCTGTGATCCACGTAGAGGATCGCGAAGTACTTCACGGCACGCCGCATTTCTTCTGAGATGGGAAAAGAATGGGTGGATTCCCACGCTGTTTGACGATGTATCGTCTGTAACTCTTCCTTTTTCCGCGACAAGGCTTGGAAGGGAGGACTATCCTTAACAAAGGAGATGGGCGTCACTGGCTGCGCGAGAATTCCCCATGGCGTGGAAGCATAGAGTGCCGAAATGTTACCCTCATCCTGGAGTTTCGCATCCCAATCGGAGTCACTAGGCACCGGCTCTGGCTTTGGAAATAGCCAGTTAGGAGGTTTGGAGAAGCGGTTGAACAGTATCGCAACGTTGAGCTCAAGAACGCTGATTTGCGAGACGTCCAACAGTGGCCAGGGAGCTGCGTCAGCCACAGAAAAGATTACACGAGCACGATATCCAGTAAGCCAGTGTGCACGGCCAACACAAGTTGGAGGCAATTGGGCGTAGGCGGTAGGCGACAACAGCTCGTTGCGGAACACCAATTTGGAGGCATTACTTACGACAGCAACAGAATCACGGACATTTACACCGCGAACGGGAGTACTGACTCGGACAGCACCAGTGTTATCGCCATCCGTGTCGTCTGCGTCCAACTCGATCGGACGATCGCGCGCGGTACCAACGAGGTCAGACGAAGCAGGAGGAGATGACGAATGCGGCGACCCGAAAAGGCGTTCATCACGGAGTCACCACTGCCCGATTCAGAATCACGGCCGAGTCGGACCGAGCATCGCCACGTCGGAGACGACTCAACAACGGACCGGAAGGACGTAAACCGTGGAGGGTAGTGGCGCCGTGACGTCCCGGAGAATCAGCACCGACGGACACATCCTCTTGAGCGCCGGAGAGATCGAGCCCCAAAGGAAGGTCGTTGGAGCGGGGAGATCCGTACCGAGACTTTGAGCGTGGAGGGTGCGTGGCTGCGTCAGGATCTTGAGCAGAACGACGTTTACGGCTGGCTCCATCCTGGGGGCGATCACCCACGGAGGACGAATCGGCGGTAGGAACTTCCGCCGGAGAATAGGCAGCCAGAGCTGGTTGCACCACGGATATCAAACCCGCGACTTGCAGGGCTAGGAGGTCGACGGAGACCTGGTCACGCTCCTCTTCAGCGACGTGACAAGCCGTCTCAGCCTCCAAGACGCGGAGGCTTAACGCGTCATTCTCGCGGGAGACGTCTTCTACCTTCCACTGAAGGACGACAACTTGAACTTGAAGAGTTTGGAACTCCTCCTGATCAACGCGCGTCGCATCAGCATCTTTTCCAGTCGAACGATGTCACCGTGGAGAGAAGCCACCCGCAGTTCTATGGACAAAGAAACAATGTCAGCAAAGGAACAGAGTCGAACCAGTGTCAGACGTACCAAGCGTTTGGGATGCAGTGACAGCTTTGTCACGGCGGCGGTGACCTCGTCCAGTTCTGCGGTGAGGCGACGGGTGGCAGCCTCAGCAACAGCGGCCGCGTCGCTGAACCGGTCCTGCTCCTTGCAGGCACGCTGGGGACGAACTTGCGCACGACTAATCCGAGACTCCAACTTGCTGACATGATGTTGAAGGTGGGCTTCAGAGTCCTCCAGCTTCTTCAAGCGGGCCTCGTGAACACGAATCGTATTCTCGGCGCGATGGAGCGCGACGCCTTGATTACGGAAGGAGTCGCGAGCGTTGCGTAGATCGACCCGGGGATGATCGCACTCACCATGAAGGGCAGCAAGGTGACGCACGTTGGGAGGGGCAGCCGGAGTTGCTACTGCTCGAGCAGCACGTCGACGTGACTCCAGGCCGTCGATCTCACGATGGAGACGTTCCATCTCCTCAATGTGGTCGCGGAGAGTCGTCTGGAGACGAGCTCGCCCGTCCAGGAGCTCAGCAGAATCATCGCGACGATCCTGCTGCTCGTCAAATACGTCTCCAAGGTCCGCCTGGACCCGATTGCGTTGATGGAGCACAATGGAATATTTGTGCTCAACGAACTCGACGAATGGCGTTGCAGCAGCGAAGTTGTTGTCCATCTGCTGTTCCATCTCACCGACGCGGGCTCGCAGGGCGCGACAGACAAGCTGCAGCGCGTGGTGGTCATCTACCAGACTCCAGCGCGTTAGCATGGTCCACCACGGCCGCGAGCTGATCCAGGGCCCCGAGGACAGAAGAGAGATCCAGCGCAGGCGGCACGAGGGGTAGCGTGGGCAGCACCGGCGACAGAAACAACGCACGAGCACGGGAACGAGGTGCTGAGGAAATACAGGTGGAAGATGAGTGATCACAGCCCAAAGCGATACACAAGTATACGCACTAGAAGGGGCGTCAACAGTGGATGGACGCGCTGACGCTAGGCGCACCCGACGCAGAAGAGGGTGCAGATATCGTGGATGGCATACCGGTCGATCAGCGTTGGAGGAATAAGATCCGAGAGTATGGTGTGGCGGTTGGAGGCTTGCGTGCGAGTGAAACGCTGTACAGTCCCGTTGCACTCAGGGGGCGATTGAAGTGGAGTGACCACGGAAATTCGATCAAGTGTGACTAGGAGCCGGATGGTCGTTTGAAGGATGAAGATGGGTGCAAGACGTGTCGCACTTAATGTGACGAACATACCAGTTCAAGTTGGCTGCATAAACCAAACTCTACCCTACACCTCGATCTTCGATCAACGAGAGCGACCTCGATCTTCGATCATCGATCAACAAGAAGGGTTCCGATCAACGGCCATCGATCAACAGGTGAGGAGTAGAAGGCCGCAGGCGGGATGGGCAAGGCTGATATGGGTACAAGGGTACCATGTTTACGGCAAATGTAGGCACAGTTCAGGATGAGTGGTTGTGGAGATAGGCTAAGGAAAGACAGGCAGACTTCTAAATATTCTTTGGACCTCTCACATTGGACCCCCTCTGCTTTAGCCACGTAGACTTCTAAATATTCTTTGGACCTCTCACATTGGACCCCTCTGCTTTAGCCACGTGGCAACCTCTACCAGTCTGGGAACGTATATTGGCCCACCTGACGATCAAGGACACCACCCCGCTCTGCAGAAGGACAACTCGTCGACGCCTACGCCGCTTGACTAGGCTCGACCAAACACCCCCTCAAAGATCCCGCTATCGGAAGCGGCAAGCAACGGAAAGGAACACACACACAAGGACACATAGATTGGTCATCTGATCTACTCCCTCCATACCAGACAGCCGCGTGAAGAAGTATCCGCGCGGCAGTCAACAA